AACGCTGCTAAGCTTCGCAGCGTCTTTTAAGCTAGGTGGGAGGAGCAGAGCGCTTTGACAAAGGAGTTTGCATATCAACAGGAGAATTTAGCATTGAAATAGCTATGTTAAAGTGTTGGATTAGCAGGGTGTTACAGTCAAAAATTATTTTATTATTTTATTTCCATTCTATGTGACGTTACCGAAAGAACCAAGAAGATGAATCCCTGCAGTCACGAAAGCTTTAAATCAAAAGAATAAGTAATACATTTCATATTGAGGGCACTTACCTTTACTAAACCTTTTTACAGCCATTACACCATTGTAATATTACAATTGCAATTATTTAAATTAACAACGTTTAATATATATTTTAATTGATTTAATACATTTACATTTAACAACCTTTCACACGTTAAAAACATTTTTGCGACCACCCAATATATACAAGAATTGACTATTTTCGGGAAATGATCTCCCTGCTCTTCTGCTGAGTAGTGCAAGAACACCAATACAGGAACTCCTCCACTTACGACCATTCGACTTACGAACTTTCAGAGATACGAACAAACCTGGTCCGTATGTCCAGCTGCCTGTTCGGATCGAGAGTCACAAGTTCAACCGCCGTGCAATAGATTGCGGTGGTGGCGTCTACATCTGCAGATCACTGCATCTACAGGAGATTACGCAACTTTTAAAGCCATTCGCTGTGTTTAGTGTACATGTCGTAACAACGTGTTTGGAATCAACAGGAACAAAGTCGAACGACATGCATGCATGCAAACACCAACTTATTCAAAACTCAGCACTAATAATACACACCCCAATGTCACGACCTTCGACAAACTCACGCACGCCACAACGATGCAGTACTCTACCCCGCACTTACACGCAACAACGCCACCCGACGCCTTTCAACACACCTCTTACACACAAACACCGCGTCCGCACAGCATGTATAGCTTTAAGTGAGTTAATTCGGGAGTGACAAAAAAAACCCCTCAGTTTATAGGATGATGGCCGTGAGGTAGACTTCATTGAGACTTACAAAACCTCCTTCTTAACTTTGTTGGAGTGCGGGTTTGCACCTTCCACAGCGCCCGTGTTGCGAATTACTCGGATTAATCATTACGCGATTTCAGCGCCACGCAATCAGTGACGAGTGCGTTCACTGCCCATGAAACAACGCACTGCTGCCTCTCAGACACGTATTACTGCATTCCCCCTTTTCTCCCCCTTCCTCTCTTTATTCCTTAACTCGCATGTCCGCAATGGGTTCTCCTTCAATTTGAATAAGGCAGTCCTCGACTTATGAATGCCCAACTTATGAACATCCATACTTACGAATAATCCTTCCTGAAATAACTCGTAATTGCAAACTGACCCGCTGAACTATCTTGTTCAGAGGAGCAATCCTCTGCGAGATGTAATGAGTCGGCCTCGTGCTGGGAGTGTATGTATGTGCGTGTGTGGACGTGTGTATGTGTTTGTGAAAGTGTGTGGGGAGCGCTAGTTCCATTCTTGCTCATGGCCAATAGCAGTAGCTGCTTTGGTGTGCAAACATCACCACTGGGGAGACAAAGGCAGCCGGGTGTGGTGCTGGCCACCCCGACTCCTGGCCGTTGCCAGCCTACATAGGCACTGCTAGCTAACAGCACTTGCCCCAATAGCCTGTTAAGGCTACATGGGGGAATCGTGTGTGTCTGTGTGTATACGGGTATTTTGTGCCCATCATACTCTCCACCCCCACAACTCTCAATTGATGATGGGGCAGCTGTGGAGAAGAGTGGAGAGTTTGCCATACCTGGGCAGTGTGCTCATGACCGGTTCACCTCGCATCAGTTAAGTGGCATCTTTTCATCGGCTGTATAACGCTGTGTGGAAGCAACCAGATATGTCGCTCCACACGAAGTTTCGGGTCTTCTCGGCCACGGTCATGCCCTCCCTTCTTTACGCTTGCGAAACGTGGGCAACCCCAATGGAACATCTTCGACGGTTGTAAACATTTAGGCAAGGATGCTAGGGGTCATCCATTTAGTACGTACGCAAAAATCTGTCAAAAACTTGACTACCTCCCCCCCCTTATGCACGCATACTTTTTACACCCACCTCCCCTGTGTATGTACGCTTGACACCCCCCCTCCCCAAATCTTATAGAACGGCCGATATTTAATCCACGCAGAAACTAAAAGGATGAATAATGTTAACATGCTTAGGCAAACAGATAGTCCACCGCCGGCTGCATTAAAGAATTGAGTTGCGTAGATTAATAAAGTTTGTCTTGTGTCCGCTAGGTTCAAACGCCGACTGAACCCGGTCGGACAGGTGACGTGTTATTATTGATCCTGGCGGTAGGCTCAGACATGGCTGAAGTCGACAGACTTGATGCAGCATGGCCAGACGATATTTTGTGGCAACGCATCAGATGCAGCTGAAATCAATGAGTGTAGGTGCTAAACACAGTTATACTTGACCGTGTTATCCATCCTGACTGGTTATTCAAAAACAAGCTAATTATGATCTTAAAACAATGAAAACTCGGTGAACTAGTCTCTATATAAAGTGCGTCGACTGAACATCTGCTGTAACAGTAGACCGATGTACAGACCAGTGTTAGTACTGAAGTCTGGGCAGCAGCACGAACAGAGCAGCCAAAATCTTGAGCCAGCGACAGTGTGCAGTGAGGCCAGATTGAAGGATGTGTGATCCATGGGTCAGGCCGTCAGACGATGTCAGGCTCACTGCTGAGCTGCGTGACAGCTAGCAGTCAGGGGTACGGTGGCGTACAAGTGACACCTCTGCCACAGTCCTACTTCTGAAGAAACTAAACTGTGGCTCAATTGAAAGCCAATATAGACAAATTATTATCGAGGCTTCACCCCCCCCCCCCGTTTCCTATGCGTACGCACATTGTCAGTAGACCCCCCAAACACAAGCAAACGCAATTGGGTTAACCCCCTCCATGCGTACATTACTAAATGGATGGCCCCTTACTGGGCAGTTGGAGGCAGTCGTCCTCCAGCAACAACGAAGGGCAGAGGAGTGACGGTCACAACAACGAGCGAAGTGCCGGGCGGCTAAAACACAGCAAGTTGGTACGGTCGGGGGCACAGGTGGTGCATCGGCCAGTCATCTCAGTCGACCCATGGCACCTGCTGGGTCTGCCCCGTGACCTCCTGGCAGCAGGCGTTCGACACTTCACGTGGCATTAACGTGCACATAGTCTGGCACAGGCGCCGTGTGACGTCACAACCACTTCGTGGAGAATGGCAATTGGTCTTCTTTGGTTCTTTCGGTAAAGTCACGTAGAATGAGAATAAAATAATAAATTGATAAAATAAAATAACAATAATATTCTCACGACGTTTCGGCCACAACACAAGCGGCCTTCATCAGGTGAAGGGACGAGACTGTCTGGAGGACAGCGCTGGAGTGAAAAAGCCACGCTCAGATCGCGACCTTTAAGCTGTGTGAGAAGAAACAAAGCGCCTTGACAAAAGAATTGGCATAGAATTTAGCATTGAAATGGCTGAGTGATTAGCTTGTGACTGGTCACAGAAATGGCTATGTTAAAGTTAAAGCATACACATCCGCAGAGGCACCCCTTGACAAAGGAGTTAGCATAGAATTTAGCATTAAAATAGCTAAGTTAAAGCATACACATCCGCAGAGGCACCCCTTGACAAATGAATTAGCATAGAATTTAGCATTGAAATAGCTGAGTGATTAGCTTGTAACTGGTCACAGAAATAGCTATGTTAAAGTCAGAGCATACACATTCACAGAGGCACCTAGTACAAATCAAACAGGAGAATTTAGCATTTAAATAACTAGGCGAATTTAGCATTGAAATAACTGAGTGATTAGCTTGTGACTGGTCACAGAAATGGCTATGTTGAAGTCAAGGCCTACACATCTGAGCTATTCACAGTAACTGGGTATACACTACAATATATAATGAATACTATATAGTGAACCCATAAAAAAAAACTAAAATATAAATTACCTCAATGTTATCAATAAACTCTATATATTCTCCAATCAGCTAAGCTACCAACAATAAGTCGTTATATATCACAATGCTATATGGCGAAAAAAATGGGTGGATTCTTACCCTCAACTTTAGCAACACGGATAGCTACGGGCCCCGTTCAGACGGACGAGTTCATCCATGGTCGGAAGAGAGGAGGGGGAGAGAGACAGCTGCGAGGTGCTGTTATACTCCATGTTGTAAACCATACCATTAACTGTGGTGTGAGAGGTATTAAGAGTCAATGCCAGCGAAAGAGCTGCGGTCTGAAGGTCATCGTAAAATACAATTAATTAAGAACGGAAATGGTTTAAAACATCTTTCCAATGATTACTAAGCCAGAATCCATCTTCTCGGTTGAAATTGTCTCTGTGCTTGTATATGTGAATGGCCTCATGAACGAATCTCTCATGGTAGCCGGTTGGTTTGCAAAGAACCTCCGTCTTGGAGAAGTCAATGTTTCTTCTCACACAGCTTAAAGGTCGCGATCTGAGCGTGGCTTTTTCACTCCAGCGCTGTTCTCCAGACAGTCTCGTCCCTTCACCTGATGAAGGCCGCTTGTGTTGAGGCCGAAACGTCGTGAGAATATTATTGTGTTATTTTATTTTATCAATTTATTATTTTATTCTCATTCTACGTGACTTTACCGAAAGAACCAAAGAAGATGAATCCTTGCAGTCACGAAAGCTTTAAATCGAAATTTAATGGCAATTGGTGTTCTTGTGTATGGGTACGCGCGTGCCCCGTGTATGTGAGTGCAATTGTGGTGACTTATTTGCACCCCTTCTGACTACAATCTAGTATCAGAACCCAAGGTAAGTGGCAAAAAAATGTTTATATTACTTTAGTTTGTTTTATTTACAATACAGTATTTATGTACAGCGCTACATGAAAATGTAAAATATTTATTCTTATGATTTTATCAATGCTTCCCAATTTGTTGAACCGTAACTGTTCTGCTTCACGGCGATGTGGGGGTGTGTGTACACAGGACTTTCCTGTTTTGATGCCGAGTTTGGTCACGTGACCAGGAAGTTGGAATTTAAGATTCCCTCTCAACCACGCGGGTGTCAGCCATTACACAGAGTACAAAATGGAGGCACAAATAACGTCTCGGTGACCACAGGTGTATCTGTTCATTGTGGGACTTTAAGAAGCATTGTCTGTAAGTTCGTTTATGTTATAATACTGAGAATGCCGTTATAATGCTGTAAATGCCTTTATATTGCCGTTAAATTGTTATGATAAATATGAGGCCGAGTTAACAACGAAGCCTGCCACTTGCCTTATTGTGAATGTTACTTGTAATTGAATAAGTCGAGTCAGACTTGTACCCATGTAACCTTATTGCGATCTTGAGAGCAAGGATGATGAAATATCTCATCCACAATTCAGTGTTATGTGCAGTGCTGTACATTTGGGGTGCAGTGTGATGATTACACGATGTGCCCTTATCACAGTAGCTTATTCTCTTGTATAGCTATTCAGTACTAATGTAGGTGCCTGGTCCATCCAGGATCTATTGTTGAGTTTCATGTTATCTAAGACAATGTTATGATGCTGTAGTGTTTATTCATTGTATTGATATTTCCAAGTATTAACAGATGCTGTATTTGTGCTGTGTTTTTCCATCAGTTTTACCTCGTTCAATTCATTCAATACGGTTGGAGTCGGATGTTCACCCTGGCTCTGAAGGTTTATTGAATGCGAGGTTATCTACTCGGATAGTGGTGCAACGCAGCGCACAGCGAGGTCGAGACAGTAACACATTTCATAACACCGAACTTATTGGCATTTAAAGTACATCATTGTGATCGGGCTTACAAACTGTTCGACTTCCGAACGGGCTTAAGAAACCAATTCTGTTCGTAAATCAAGGACTGACTGTAATTAGTATCATAATCACCCAATATCTATCCACTGTTAGATGAGGGCCTCCCCAATACCTCTTCAGAGGTCTGCAGTGCAACAATCCATATAGCTCCTGCAAATGAGCTGATTTCATTGCTGCACGTCCATGGTGGAAGTCCTTGAGGAACATTTAACAACTGTATAAAGAAGGCTGTGAAGGTTGGCCGAAGATGAAACAGCAAAATCAAAGTCAAATACGACAAGATTGCTAAAACTATTGAGCATATATATTTTAGGTATAACTGGAAAGCACATTAGAGTATGTAAACCTAGCACAAATATTGAAAGGTCAACCGGCATGAGGACAATTCAAATAACAAGGCATCTGAGAGTAAGTACGCCCACGTTTGGCCAACTGACTTTACTAAAAAAAAACACGTACTGCTTTTCCTACAAAAAGTAACACGCCTTAAATGAACACATGCTCGCACTCTCGTGTGTGTGTGTGTGTGCCCACGTGTGATGGGAATGGGCGTGGCGTTTCAGATCGTCAGAAATGTGGTTTGTTGGGTTTTAAGAAAATGTCGTGTCATGAGCCACTATAAGAGACTCGTGCCAGTGGTCAAGGCTCATTGAGAAAGGCGTTGGGGGCTCGCGTGCTACAGGCACAACGAGCGTCGTCACCATGAGGCTCATTGCTGGTCTTCTCACCTGCTTCCTCCTGGGTAAGTCACCTGCACTTTCCAGCTGAAATGTATCATCACCTGTGCTTTGGGATGCGATGTGGCTTTATTTGAATAATGAAGAATAGAAAATGTGTTCAACTTTACGATTATTTTTTTGTTTCTTTTTCAGTTGGTGATGTGCATGGCAACTGGGAGGGTTCATTGCAACGGGTCTTCAGCTATCCAGGCACCTGCCACAAACAGCTGCAGGGCTCGGGTTACTTTACCATACCCAACAACGAGAGTTGCCTCTACACGATGAACGTTGACGCAGATGAAGTGGTCAGCCTCTATATGAGATACTTGTAAGCAGTGTTATATTGTGAAAACTCTTGTTTTATGAAGGAAGATAAGCGGAAGAATATACGCGCTGTACAACGGAGGAGATGCAGTATGGTATAGTTGGCTGAATAGGCAATGAGGGGATATTCAGGATGGTCATACTCGTGCAACGCTAAGCCAATGGGCCGTGTATGGTATGGTCAATTTTACTATGCACAGCAGGAGAGTTGATAAAGTTAGCATCAGAAACAGCATCAACATATATTTGTTATGTATACAATTAACATACCATTATGAAGAAGAGACGTGCATGAATGCAGTCAAATCAGACTTTTAAATCGTCACATTGGTGAAATAATAGCCCAAAACATAAGTAAACTGTCAGGGCTGGTGGGTAAATGTTGGTTGGGACACGGAAGACTTGGGAATGGTGGGGGGAGGGAGAGGTCAGTGAAGAAGTTTTGAGCTTCCCCCTAGCGCTGTAACAGAATAAAATGAATCCGCGACAGAATGAATGGTACATTAATTTTTCAGGCCCAAATGTTATGTATTTGGGCGTGGCTTTGCCCATATAAGGAATATACTGCATCGGGAATTGACCATCCAAATTTCTATTAAACGGGAATCGACGAGGTTGTTAACGATCCAAAGCTCGATCACTGCTCGATAACTTCTCAAAGACAAACTTTCCCCCCCCCCATGGACACGTATTGAAAATGTCATAGCTTGATTACTGTTCGATTCCATCGATGCAAGTATTCAAAATTTCAAAGCTTGATCCATGCTCGAACACAGACATGTGTATAAAAAATGTCATAGCTCGATCATTGTTCAAATATAGCTCGAACACGTAGACACACTCAAGCCATTTAAAGAATCAAAATACTGCTGAGCAATACAGACATTGCATCCGAAATATATACCGTCTATACGAGTTAGGTAAGGGTGGCAATCTGACACACCACAGGGACATGGAGGGTTATGTTTATATTTTGTTGTCCACAGTTTCACCTACTGCCTGAATGACAACAACAACAATACTGCAGTGAGCGTGCATGATGGGCCAGACAATCTGGCACCCATTTTATCCACGGTTTCCTGCGGCTATAATACTGCAGGCTTCGTGTCAACAAACTCAACCCTCTCCGTATACTACTTCCAAAGTAGCAACAATTCTTACTACTCATATGTCTACATCTCTTTCCATGCATCACCTGGTGGGTACCACACACACACACACTGACACTTGTTGGGTAATGTTATTCAATCATTCATACTCGAAATTTGAGTCAGATCAGAGTCCACTAAGATACATTTTCAATTAGTTAACACTGGAATAAACCCGTTGAAGTCCTGGCAAAAACCTCGTGAAATTAAGTCAGTAAAATAATTAACATAACAAGGTGACAGTGAAATTTTATTAACTACAATCAATTCAATGATCAAATTTTGCAAGTGTAAGCCAGACATGCTTGTTTACTCGGGAAAACTTCGCTGAGTCTCAATCCATTTCAGAAGGATCCGGTAAAGTCTTTTGCATGGGCTGGGGGGGGGGGGGGGTGGGATGATTGCTGTGTAGATTCCAAATGAGTAATTTGCGGAGTACATTTTCAACTTGGACCATGACGGTGGCACCAAAGAGTGGCCTACTCTTGCGAATGGCATCACTGGATCATTAATGTCCGCTGTGAACCAGACAGGTGTGCATTTTATGGTTAATGCACCCACTAATAACCAGGGCGGCCACTAGATTCGAACTGTGAATCTTTGCAACAAGCGCTGATCACGCTACCACTCGCCCCCATGGGAATCAAACTTATTTAAAGCAGCGTTTTAAAAAGTTCGTATGTTACACTTGGAGATAACGCACCTGTTGGCCAAAGAGTTGGAGGTATAATTTTTTTCAGGACATTGTGCATCATTATATGCAAATATGCATAGATTTTTTTTATAGTTGAACATTTCACGTTTTTAACATAGTTAATTCGGGGTGTAGGTGTTCTATTGTATGCTAAGGTGTCCGCCAGAATTTTGGTTCTCACCTCAAATCCTTTTGACACACTGATTTTCTGCCAAGTAACATTTACCAACCTAAAGACAAATCTTAATCATTCAGCATCACCTTACAAGTTTGAAGACTTAGAAGTGAGTATTTTCTAAATAAACTTGACAAACATGTGTATTGGTATAAGAAGTACAGTTTATGTAAGGAGTATTACTGCTAACATTTTGTTTTGTTTTTCAGCTTCCTCGAGGTGTGGGGGGAGGCTGGATGCGCAAAGTATGATCCTGACATCTCCAAACTACCCACACAACTATGAGTACAACTCCAGTTGCACTTGGGAAGTCTACGCTCCACCCGGATACGTTATTTTTCTATATATCAGTGACTTTGAGTGAGTATGGAGTGCGCCATGAGAATATTAATCCTACGGACATTGCAACATACTTATCTGTGGACAATTTGTCCTTTAAAAACAACTGTGGGATATTTTAAACCGATAAAGAATACGATTCGCTCTTGGCTAATTTGCTCTAACTTGTTACCCTGAAATGTCACAATTGATCAAATTCCAGGGGGCAGAGGAGTGAGGGAGAATTGTATGCTTATTTTGCTGGGGTGACTTAAATTGTTTAATAAATTACACGACTTTTATAAATCATGCTTAGATGCTCAAATAACATTTCAGCAGGGTCATTACATTTAGCCAACTCAAAGTTGGTTTGATGTTTTGGGTTTTAGTGTGACGGAACTCACGAGCATTTTAGCCTTCACTATAACGCATATTAAATGTATTTAATGGAAATGATGCTTCACATTCAACGTTGGTCAAATATTAGTGGAAGCTCTCCCATTGTTCAGTCTGCATACTTTCTATTTAAATAAACTCCACCAATACGTATAGAATTGAACCAGAATTAACAAAATTGACTAAAAAGGAAGAAACTATTTTTGGAATTGATTCCTAAATGGACAGGGAATTATTGTCAGCTTCCAGCTCTTGCCACTTTGGGTTATATCACTTTATTTTAGAAACTCCGCTGCTCATTATTGATCAATTTCTTGTCGCTCAGGGTACTGGATGAGCCCGGGGCTGAAAGAACTCGCAGTCACAACCGGCAGTGCGGCCACGACAGCCTCACCATTCTGGACAATGACCAAGGAAGCAGCTCGGTGGTGACTCGTCTTTGTGGGATCCTGCCAGACAGCCAAGTGTCCACCATTGGCAACATGACCCTGCAATTCACCTCGGATGGCTCGGGGAATGGAAGGGGGTTTAGCCTTATGTTCTACCGTAACGGTAAGAGGCTCGGTGGCTATAGTCTCTAAAATGTTGGCGAGTGCACGGAGGCATTAGGAGACCATGTTCCCTTTATGATCTCCTACTTGGTCTCCGTGAGCTCGATGTGCTTGTTTATTTAGTAAACAGGGGGAAGTCCGTGGATGGAGGGTTATATCCCTTTTCTGTAGGTATGTATGTATGTTGAACTTACATTATGAGATCTCCTTTGCCAGTAACAAGATATAGTAATAGGTTTTACCCTTTCAACTGGCACAAAAACTGACACCTTTATTCAAGGCATCATGTTTGCAATAACCACAACACTAGCAGTCAAAATGCAAACAAAAGAGACAACTCTGATAATAATATGCACTGTCCTTGAATTTGATTATTATCAGAGTTTTCTCTTTTGTTTGCATTTTGACTGTTTGTGTTGTGGTTATTGCAAACATGATGCCTTGAATAAAGGTGTCAGTTTTTGTGCCAGTTAAAAGGGTAAAACCTATTACTATATGTTGAACTTGTTTTGCACTGTACG